ATATATATATATATATATATATATATATATATATATATATATATATAGGGCAGGTTTTTTAACAATTATTATGTTACTATTATGTTACATGATACAACACTTTATTATTCATTATTCACTGTTTTTTTTCACTATTCACTGTTTTGTTAGTGAAATAAAAACAAATATGATTAACTTTGTCAAAATCCAACAAATCCAACTTTATCTGCCTAATAGTCCTCGTAATATACCACTGCCTGCTGAGTAACAACTAATCTGCTAAAGACTATGATACAAAGTAAATTAATATCCACCTCTGGCATTAATGTGTGTGTGTGTGCGTGCGTGCGTGTGTGTGTGTGTGTGTGTGTGTGTGTGTGTGTGTGTGTGTGTGTGATCCGAGGCAAAGACACAGGACAAAAGTTCAGCACTCCAGTAGGGTGGCCAATTATCGTACAAGTCTGGACATGTCAATGCCTACAGAAAAAAAAAAAAAGATTTTACTTTGCAAAAAAAATAATTTCTGCTGTTTTCACTAGTATATTTATAAGATACTGGTTTTAAATTTGGGTACAGTTTATGTTAGTTTTTTTTTTGTTTGGTTTAATTTTTTAACACAGAGATACTTTGAGTTATACAGCTTGACGCTGTGTCTGTCTCTGAGAAGTATTTACATTTTTATATTTATTGGTTTTTATCATTTTATGGTTTTTATCAGACTCATGTTCATGTTTGTGCTGATGTTCAATGTTTTATGTTATAAGTGCTTAGTGTATATTTAGTTGATGTTTTTCTTAGTTCATATCTTAGATGTTATTAGTGTTTTTCTTATACATTTTATTGTTGGATGTAACTGGGACCCCGTGTACATAATTTCGCTCCACCACATGTACCACATGAGGCGCGAATGACAATAAAGAAACTCTGACTCTGACTTTTATAGACTGTATTTGTTTATTTCACGGTGACACCTAGAGGTGGGAGTTGGGTACTACAATTAATTTTCATCTTTGTTTTTGTCACCATCTACTGGTGGCAAAGTGTAACTGCAGGGAAATTCTTCAATTAAAAAATGTTCCGTCACGATGAACTTATTGTCGGTTCATTTCATCCACAAAGAAGTGACTTAAACTCAAGATTATTGCATGTAATCGCTTAAATGTCAGTGAAGCTCCATTTAAATTATTCTGCTGTGATATGTAAACTCCTGCCCTGCTCGATTGCCCCATAAAAGGAGTATTTGTTTCGTTATTTTCTGTGTAAACCTACAGTGTCCATATGCGTGCTCGGCTCGTGTGCGCGTTCAGGCTGCATCAGGGGATGATGGAGGGTTCATGTGATCAGGGGGGGACCTGTGCGCTCTCTGCGCACCCGGAAGCTGTGAACCAGGATGCTAATGATGCTGCAGCCTTCCTCACCGGGAGCATCCTCCTCCCAATGTCGCATGTGCGCGATCTTTTGAGGGGTAGGACACCAAAGCATGTAACTTTGCTCGGCATTTCCACATGACACTAGCGGGATCTCTCTCTAGACTGGGATCGTGGTAAGTGATGTCATTTTCAGTGCAGTGTCATTACGCAGCATTTAGAGCAGATAAAAAAAAAAAAGCAAAGCAGACTGAATGAGCTAGTGTCATTTTTATTATGCAGGTTTACACTGTTTTAAGGTGTAAAGGATTATGTCACTTTCCTGCTGCAGTTCAGTTTTATATATATATATATATTGCTAAATATAATATAAAAAATATTCGTGCTTAGAGTAGAAACCAGACAGCAGCCTCCATAACCAGCACCCCTATGATCCAAAATCAAATATTTGTGTTTAGTTTGGACTGTTGTCTTGATGATGAGCATATGAAATGTGTCTGGATGAGGACAGGCCCCTCTTTAGACGAGGTTGATGGACGCATTTTTAACTGCAGTGGCGTCCGAGCCGTTTGACTACACTTCCCAGAATTCAGCAGACTGCTCAGTCATGTAACTTGAACCAGTCTGTCACATCGCATTTAAAGTATTGTAAAGTGTGTTGTTTTGTTTATTTTTATTCATTTACGTGTCTTCGTTAATCTGACAAACTTGTTTTCACCAGACAGCAGAAATATCGCTAAAGAAAATGTTGTTTAAAGAGAAACACAATGAAGAATTCTGTTATTTGACCCATTTTCGTGCATTTGGGCTACACAGCTCTGTTGGTGAGGATAAAGTAATATGTTGTGAAATAAATATGCAAACTGAGAAGAAAAAAAATGTTTTGGTTATGAAAACCAATACTGTAAACTTGTCATGTTTAAGTTTTGATTTGAAATCTACCTAGAAATTAAGATGATCTGCTGCATATGTAAAAATAAAAAAATAGAATGTCTTCAATTTAATTAGCAGTATCAATACTTTCAAATAGTTACTGGGGGCTGTAACTGAAAATTAAGTTTCACAAATGTGTTATTATACAGTAATATTTATTAATGAATATTTTTCAGAAATACAAATACAATTTACAGTGGGTAGGCTGATAATTTGTGCTTTAGCTGAAATCCTAAAGTAAAGTAAAAAAGGTAAAAAATAAATAAAAATAAGAAAGAAAAAGAATACAAAAAATATAGAAAATAAGCAAAAAAAAAAGAATACAGCCTTGTGAATTTGGTTCGATGCATATGATCCGCCAGAGTCAGCGTTTAGAGACTGAGCTCCAGCCGGGGCAGCACCGGGAGGATGAGGTTTCCGAACGAGGAGTCCTGGGTGATGAAGAAGCCCGAGGAGTACGCGTGCACCTCCTGCAGGGTGGCTTTCTTATGGGCGGCCTTCTGTTGGGCGGCTATGTGCTGCTGCTCCACGCTGCCCCGCACCTCCTTCAGGCTGATTCTGGACAGCGGGATGATGGCTTCAGGGCTGTTCATGGACTGGCTCTGCATCAGCCGTCTCTTCTCCTTGTCCTGCTCTGCCAGGACGGCCAGTCGGGCCTTGTTCTGGAAGCGTTGTCCTGCCGGGCTGGCAGCCATGATAGCTAATGTTCCTGTAAATAGGAGAGAAAGAATCACAAGAGTGATTTTAAGTTGCTTCTCTTCTCAGCAGTTTAATGGAATCAATATAAACACAATACATGTCGCTCAATGTCATAAAGTGGAGAAAAAACTTATTAATAAAGCAAAATAATAATAAACTGTCAAATATCAGTGTTTTCACATATTTTTGTACACTCAAATAATACCAGACAAGTTCCTAGCTTCTGCAGTTAGCTTAACAGCCATTATCCAATACACAACTGGCGCACAGAAACA